ACGAAGCAATAATTTTGCAATAACATAATAAATTAACGACCTGGATACTTGTACGGTTCTTTTATACAAACAAAATAAGAGATAAAATAGTGTGTTCTTTTTCAATTAACAACTTATTGCTAATCCTCCACTTGCTGTAACTGATTCAGTAGGCGTTCATCATTATCATCATCATCAACAGCCTTTACTAGTCCACTGCTGGACATAGGCCTCTCCTCAGACAGGAGGTTTTGGCACAGGGTTTGTTTCAGGTCTTTTTTCTCTTTGCAGTAGGCGTTGCACGAACAATATGAGTATTTAAGATGTAATATTTAAAAAACACGTTACAAACACGATACAAAACTATACTATATGTTTCTAAACATATTAAGTTTCTTACTTCCTAACAAATTACAGTTCCAAGTTAAGTATCATTTCCTGATGAAGACTGCACGGATGGCGTAGTGGTTTAAGCGGTCGCCACGCCGCTTCCTACTGCGCCGAGTGTTGTGGGTTCAAACCCCACATGGGACAACACTATGTGTGATCCACAAATTGTTCTTATGAGCCTGGGTGTTCTTTGTGTACGTTTCATGTACGAGTATGTTGGTAAAGTCCCCAGCGACACAGGATATTCCTAATGCGGGAGTTGTCTTTTAAAAGAAACAATTTCCTTATTGCTGTCATAGGGATAGTTAACATCAGTGTAGTTCAGATGGAAGAAAAAGTTTCGTAACCATCTCAAAGCCTGATGTAAAAAGTTTGGATCCATTGTATCTACAGTATAAAATAAAATTAAAGTTCTAGTTACTTGTTTTAGTAGATATCTACTTTTAAGAACATTTTCACTAATTAGTATAATATTCCATCGCAGTGGATTAAGGCCGTTACGTCATTATTACTTTAACAACCAACATTAGGTCAACAATTACCTGGCCTGTTGATCTAGTGGTTAGTGACGCTGACTGTGGGTTCAATTCCCACTGAAGAGAGCACGATCATTTGTTCTGTGACTGCGTGTGATTTATCTATGATATGTTTGTATTTAGAACTATAAAAGTATGTTTATCAGCAGTCTGGTTACCATTGTACAGGCTCTGCCTAGTTTAGGATCAGACGGCCGTGTGTGTGATGTGTGAAATTATTATTATTATTTAGTTGATAGTATTTTTGGTGGGTTCCAAACAAACTAGCTCTAGCTGACAGTGAAGGTGTAATTCTTGTCATATTTTTAGTTCTATTTCAAATCCGAGTTAAGTGAAACTTCAAGTTGTGTTGAAAGCAAAAATTATTATATGATATGCCTTCCGACAATTGCACAATGCTGACTTACTCAGAAAAGAGCAATAGTTGAGTAAACAAGAGTATAAACCACTCCGAGAGCTCCTTAGACCTAAAAAACGAAAGATTGTAAGTAAGGTATTTTTAATGTTAATAATTTGACTGCACGGATGGCGTAGTGGATTAAGCAGTCGCCACGCCGCTTACTACTATGCTAAGTGTTGTGGTCCATTGTGGGTCCCACATGGGACGACACTTTGTGTGATCTACAAATGGTTGTTCTCAGTCTGGGTGTTCTTTGTGTCCGTTTCATGTATCTTTGTAAATTTCTAGTGCGGGAGATGTCTAAAAAAAAATCAAAATAATGTACCTTATATTTGTTCTCTGTAGATGCAGAAGATAGTTTTAAAGTCAGTATAATACTTTACCGTTAGGAGATAACATTTCCAAAAAATACTGGACTGCATCGTAAGTATATAGTTTCAATGGCATAAGTGGGAAAATCACAGAAACAAGCTGAAAATTGTTATTTTTATTTATTTATTTATTCATCTTTATGCACTTTTGTACATCGGCGGACTTAATGCCCAGGGCATTCTCTTCCAGTCAACCTTTGGGTGATGTAGAAATCTTGTCAGGTAGGTGCACAGAGGTTACATCATAATATCAAATGTACAATGAAAATATATACGGTTCACTATATATATAAACATATACACACATACTACACTTACACATCATAAATACGCAAAGATACACATACATATATATACAAGTATATTTATATAGATACATAGACATATCATATTCGTACACTATGAAAACCTGAATTTGAGGTATACTTAACTATGGATTAGACCGTTCTGCCATTTCTTTAAGAAGGAGAGCATGTACCTTCTTTTTGAATATAAAGCGGTTTGTGGACATCCTGATTTCGAGCGGGAGCGCATTCCAGAGTAGTACTGCTTGAACAAAGAACGAAGAGTTCACGAAGTCGGAGTTGTGAGAGGGACATAAGAGAAGCAGATTGTTATCTGAGCGAAGATTTCTGTCATGATTGCTAGACAGGTAACATAAGTAGGGAGCAAGGTAAGTAGGTGAGGACGGTGAATTGAGAAATGCAAATAGAGAGGTAAGTGCACGCTGTTTGCGGCGGAGGCGAATAGGTAACCAGTTTAATTGGGAACGCAAAGCAGACACATGGTCATACTTCCGAAGATTGAAGATGTATCGAATGCAGTTATTGAGAAGACGGTCAAGCTTATTTAGAAGGTCTGCATTCAGGTCGAAATAACACACATCACCATAGTCAATTATTGGCATTATTAAGGACTGCATGAGCGTAACTTTGGTTTTAGGCGGTAGGAAATTCTTGAGACGATACAATGTTCGCAAATTGCCAGTTACTTTCTGGCTCACGCTAGTAATTTGAGCTCGCCAATCGAGGGATGAATCGATAAGTAAGCCCAGGTCTTTGACTACCGGGCTGAATGGAATAATTAAACCATTGTAGACGACCGGTGGGATAGAGGCAGTATCCAATCTGCTCATAATCCGTTTGCTGCCTGTTATGATTGCCTGACATTTGGTCGGATTAACTGACAGTCCAAATCTCATCGAAAAGGATTCTATGACCTCCAGGTCCCGATTGACCTCGTCAATAGCCCGCGTTACGTCCTCTACCCTTGCCTGTGAGTACAGCTGCAGATCATCAGCATACAGGTGATACGCACACTGAAGATGTTGAGTTACGAGGTTAATAAATATAGAGAATAAGAGAGGAGATAAAATTCCGCCTTGTGGGACGCCAGCGTGGAGGTCGCACCAACTTGATGATAAGTCATCAACACGAACACATTGCTGTCGCCCCTGAAGATAGGTGGAGAACCATTCCAGTGTCTCAGAAGGAACCATAAGATGGGATAGGATAGATAACAGGATTTCGTGATTGACGGTATTAAAGGCATTAGAGAAGTCAACTAGGACTAATACTGTGACTTTGGTATCTTCCATGCCCTTCCTAATATCGCCAGTCACTTTAAGGAGAGCGGTAACTGTGCTGTGGCCGGGTCTGAAGCCCGATTGTAGAGGGCTTAAAAGTTGGTTTCTGTATACAAACTGTGAGAGTTGCTTATGTACACAGGCCTCGAGTACTTTAGATAAAAATGGAAGAATAGAAATTGGCCGAAAATGTTCAGGAAGTAAAGGGTTATTATTTTTTGGGAGAGGAATAATATAGGCCTTACGCCACAAGGAGGGGAAAGTACCGGAGTCAAGAGAGAAGTTTATTATATGAGTAATTACTAAGAGAATGCAGTCTAGGATGGTGACAATCAATGTTATCAACTCTCTCAGAACCGGAATCGATTCAGTCCTTATCAGCACTTATGCCAATATTTTTAATGGACCGTGTAGGTTGAATAATTCAAAACTGTGCATTGGCACCGGTAAGAAAATGTCTTACCATTACCTACATTTTTTACAATTTCACCCTTCAATATCAACCCTTAGATCCCTTGCTGCACTATGACTAGTTCATCAATCATTTAGTCGTTGCTTAACTATCGTTTTACGATAGTGCCATAAGTGAGATAATTGTCGAACAAAGCAAAAATTCTTTGCAATTTTTTTTTTAAATGTGGTCCCGCGATCACCTCTCAATTTTTCAATGATTCGACTAATCTCTGGTAATACTTTCAATACTATGAGAGGCATGAGTGAGAAAATTGGTATTAAACTTCTGTCACTAGCTGCCGGTCTATGTAACTTCCAAGATTAGTGCCAAACACACATACATATATAAAAACATTGCAAGTTAAATATAAGCTTGAAACGATTGAATTTTTAAAGGAACCAAATATCCTAGCAGGAATAATAATACATTTATTTGTAAGTAAAGATTTCACTAATTCCTATTGATGGCAATAAATAGTTATTTTGCTTAAAATGATTAAAATACTAGAGAAAAATTGTCCGTTTGGTGACGGATTAAGAATAAGGAGTGTCACCACAACTGCTTATCCCGTGTGTGTCCTAAGAGCCGACTAAGGGAGCAAACTACGCAGGACAACAGCACTGAAGAGAAGGAAAACTTGAAAATAACCCTATAACAACCCGTCTGGCCAAACATAGTAGGCCAAAACCTCCTTTCTAAGGAGAGGCCTATGTCTTGCAGTGGACTATTAAAGGCTGTTGTTGTAGAGAAAAATGATTTGTACACAGTTTTAAGTAAACTTAGTAAACTGAGAAAGGTGAAATGGAGAACATTTAAAGTCTAAATATAAGAAAGTTCACATAGCTAAATTTTATCTGTGTCCGTGTAAAAATATCCGTGTGGTGACGGATTAAGAACAGGGAGTGTCACCACAACTGCTCATCCCGTGTGTGTCGTAAGAGCCGACTAAGGGAGCAAACTAAGCAGGACAACAGCACTGCAAAGAGAAGGAAAACTTAAAACAAACACTATACCAACCCGTCTGGCCATGGTGTAGTAGGCCCAAACCTCCTTTCTAAGGAGAGGCCTATGTCCAGCAGTGGACTAGTATAGGCTGTTGATGATGATGATAATGATGTTAGTATTTTGTTAGGATACTTAGGTGACATAAACAACTTGGCTTTTTATTTATATATTTATTTGTTCATATTATTTATAACAAACAAAAAAAAAGTTATAACAAACATAAAAATTGCGTTAAATTTTTATATAAGCTCAATTTTTATACGAATTTAATACAAGATTTTCAAAGAATTTTGGGGATTAAATCACCACCCTTATTTTTGGAGTCCTTCTCGTTTAATAGCTGGTCAAGAGCCGGTGCAGGGTTGAGTAATGTATCGCCTACTCCCTCGCCATGTCCTCCCTGTACAAATAAATTTCCTAATTTAGACTATAAATATAGATCCTCGAGATGTAAAAAAGTATAAAAAGTTTTTTTTCCCGCATTAGGAATATATTCCTGTGTCGCGGGGAACTTTACAAACATACATGAAACGGACACAAAGAACACCCAGACTCAGAACAACAATTTGTGGATCACACAAAGTGTCGTCCCATGTGGGGTAAAACAACAAACAACAACAACAACACAACAACAAAAACAACAACACTCGGCGTAGTCGGCTGTAAACCACTACGCCATCCGTGCAGTCACGTCATCAAAGTTTTCTATCAGTCGATCTAGTTTTCATAGTACAAGCTCTTTTTAGTTTATAACTAAAAAGAGCTTGTATTAAGATGGCGTTGTGTGTAAGACGTACGTTAATATTATATTATAATGTTAAAAGGGGGGAGCTAGATTGGAAGTAAGAATGGGTAATATGACTACAGTAGCTCTAAGAGACCGGAATCACGTACCCTTACGGGGTTATTCTGCGATCGGATGAAAATCAAGTACTTACTGATACAATATTTTTACCGAAGCAGAGCTATGCTTTAGCATAAATGGACGGGCTCGACCGGAGTGATACCACGGTCTCACAGAAAACTTAAGCTATTTATTTGTTGCTTTTCACCGTGTTGGTGAGATTACCGGAGTCTAAAACCCCCTAATTTAGAGGGACCCTTCTCTTTAAGGTTTCAGGCTCCGCAAGCAATTTTTATGGTGCTTTTTACTGAGCACATGAGTTTACCCGAACTTAAACCCCCGTGATTCTCCTGAATTGAGGACTCAAAAGGCGGCAACGCATTCGTGACTCTATAGTTGCAACCATCAGGGACCCGTCTAGTCTTTGACCCCCTAAAAAACCACATATTTAAATGAAACTTACCATTTCCTTCAATAAATCGAGTGCAGATACAGTAGTCACGGCAATGGCACAGCAGATAAAAAAGAAAAAGAAAATTTTTGAATTCATTGTCAGTAAAAATATTTTGACGTGGCTCACAAATGTAAACGATACTTGTCAAGTTGTAGCAACTTCAGACACTCTTAACAGAATGATTTTCAATAGCCACCACTGTACATTATATACAATCAAAGACCTCATGAAATATTCCTATGTAAATCCCAAAGAAAAGTATAATGTTTTCAATATTGCACTTAAAACCCTCGAGTCAAAACTCATTTTCCTCTGAATAGTAGTTGATTCTAACTAACATTATAAGTACGTGGTACATGTGATTTTACTTTAAGATATTTATTTAATTACGATTGGAATATATTATATTTAAAAAAAGTAGACTCTCATTCAACATAAATAATCAGAGTGCCACACTTTACGAAATGATAAATTAAATATTTAATACCAATTACTATATAAACAATTTCATTATCATCACATCATACCACCTTTAATAGTCCACTGCTGGACATAGGCCTCTTCTTAGAAAGTAGGTTTTGGCCTACTATACCACGCTGGCCAGACGGGTTGGTATAGGGTTTGTTTCAAGTTTTCCTTCTCTTTGCAGTGCTGTTATCCTGCTTAGTTTGCTCCCTTGGTGCCGACTAAGGGAGCAAACTAAGACCCCTACGGGATGAATAGGGGTGGTGACACTGTGTATTCTTAATCCGTCACCACACGGATAAATAATTTAAAATATCTTTTTGAGGTAATAATAAATGAACTTCCAACGGATGTAAATAAATAAATAATTTAAACATCGTTTTTATCTTGGCATTAACAAGTCATATGTGTGTAAATTAGTAAGCTTTCCTGTTTCAAATCATATAAACTATTAGAAAAGGTAGAACATATAGTACAACCTGACGAGCCTGACCCTGACTGCTAAACCGGAGGTCGTGGGTCCCATTCCCACCCAGAACAATAACAGAAAAAATATTTGTGTAATGAGCACGATCGTTTGTTCTGTGTCTCATCATCATCAACAGCCTTTAACAGTCCACTACTGGACATAGGACTCTCCTTAGAAAGGATATTTTGGCCTACTATACGACGCTGGCCAGACGGGTTGGTATAGGGATTGTGTCAAGTTTTCCTTCTCTCTGCAGTGCTGTTGTCCTGCGTATTTCGCTCCCTTAGTCGCCTCTTACGACACCCACGCGATGAATAGGGGTGGTAACACTATATTGTATATGTATTCTTAATCCGTCACCACACGGACAGTTCAGTTCAGTTCTGTGTCTGGGTGTAATTTATCTATAAGATGTATGTATTGAGAAATATGTAAGTATGTTTATCAGCAGTCTGGTTACCATAGTACAGGCTCTGCCTAGTTTAGGATCAGACGGCCGTGTGTGTGATGTGTGAGGTTTAAGAAAAAACAACAACAGGAAAAATAATATAAAGTCCAACCGAGTTAGCGTGAAATGGTGTGCAAGAGGTGGAACAAGGGCCTTTTATGATTTCCGAGGAAATTACACCCCGTGCCAAACGCAGTTAAATATTACAATGGAAATAGTTCAGTGTTGTGTAGAAAGAAAAGGTCTGGAACTTGTATTAACTTTTTTTTTCATCTTCTCAAATTTGCCGTAAAATTAATGTACCTACTTTTTTATGTTTATTTTGATAGGTTTGTTTTGATCTTAAATCACAAAGAGAGCTACGTTTAAGTCCAAAATTTCCATATGCTTAAAAATGAACAGTATACTACGAGTATAACTGTTTTATTTTTATATTTTAATTATACAATAAAGATTGCTATTCCAAAGGTTCCCGCTCAAGTCAAACGTGTGTGCATGAACATTTAATGTTTGATTTGGTCTGGGTGTTTCTTTGTATAATATAGAATAGATGTATAATTATATAGTATGTATTTATAAAAAAAAACAGTATTTATGTATTAATATCAGTTGTCTAGTATAAGTATACAGCCATAGTACAAGCTCCGATTAGTTTGGGACAAGATGGCGTTGTGATGTGCGAATGTGGTAGAATATTATTATTATTATAAATAAAAACATTCAGAGGAAATTTGACAAGCCCAAGAAAATTAAATGTATTTTCGATTTATGGTCAAAAACTGATAATTATTGTAATTATTAGTGGCCTGGGAGAGTCATCCTCCGCAACATATGAGACGGCTCAACAGAAATGATACCACGTCTTCAAAGAAAACGGGTAATAAACATTAACAGTGGGGTCAGCGGAACCCCCGAGATACTTACTGTCGATACATCAAAATAGTCTTTTGATCAGAAGCCACGAAGCCACTTCAGCTTTGGAAGGTGTTCTCGGATCATGTCACGTCACGAAAAACAGATCGCTTGAAAAACTTTCATGCATGAAGTCGCATCAGACGTCATTTTGAAATATTTTGAAGCGGCGGTAGCCTAGTCGTTAAGGCATTGAACTAGGCACTACCGACGTGAACCCACTCCTAACACAAGCAATTTAGCTTAGATGGAGGGGTTGGAATGTAGGGTTGACAATACTTGCTTTTAAGAAAATTGAACCACCAAACCCACTCAGCCATTGTACCGTCCGTGCAGTCAATACGCTAGTTATATCCTCGGTAATCGCTTACCACTGTGCTCGATCGTAAACTTGTTTGCCATCTTGATTACATAACAAAATGATTTATGTACAACTCAATGTCTTAAAAAACATTATAACAAAGTTACACAACAGTAAAAATCAATTATTTTGCCATAAGTTCTTGGAAGAAATTTTATGTCCAACATAATAATCAAAATGCTCTTTCATAACTTTAGCCAAATATTAGTTTAGTTGGAAATATCAAGTGAGCCGGACGTGTTATCTCCATCATGCCACTAAATAAAATACCTTTTGTAATCTTTTGTAAGTATTCTACTTTTATTAAAATTATAATTATATATTATTAACTGGCCTGTAGGGCAAGCGGTTAGTAACCCTGACTGCTAAGCTAGAGGTCGTGGGTTCGATTCCCACCCAGTACAAATTATTGTGTGATGAGCCCAATCCTTTATTCAGTGTCTGGGTATAATTGATCAATAAAATGTATGTTTTTAAATATTTTTTATAAATTGTTAATTCAGACTTAAGTTCTTATGTTATTAACCACCCCAACACTGGTCCTTTGAGCCAATAGTTTACAAAAATAATTGTTTTTGTTACAGTTACAGCAATGATGGTATTATCAGCAGCCGGTCACTATGTAAACGCATCTTATCCTAGACCTTGGAAGGTTCTGTACTATCCCAAAAGGACCATGTTCAGGAAAGCAGACCTCATTGATAAAGGGTGCATCGTGTTTCTCAACGATTGCCCCAAAGTTTACAAGTGAGTAACCAACATAATATTAAATTCCTAAGGATATAACAAAAAGTACTGATCGATAGATCGCCATGAGTTTGTTTGCCTTTTCTTCTCATAAAGCTCAATCCCTTGGAAATGGGCGGTTGTGGATCGGCACAGGCATATCATAAATGTTGGGGTGCGTGGTCCGGAACCTCCTTGTGGTGCACCCTGGGCAACGGAGACGGCAGCGCCTCTCTCCCTAGGTGGGAAAGGCGCTGCCGCCTGCGGCCAATTCCGGCCGAGGTGGGAACGGCCCGTCAAGGGCTGTTCGGAGGGCTGCTTTCCGCATGTCCCTCTGTTTGGCAGAGGGCATAGGGGAGAGCGGGCTGGGGGCGGACGGGTCCACTGCCGCTGGCTCTGTCCAGAGGTGGTGGACACTGGTCTGACGCAGACCACCGTCCGGCCATGTCGTAACCCTGACTGGCAACAGTCAGGAATGACGGCTCTTCGAGGGCTACGAGGAAGGCAACCTCTATAAAAAACCCTGGGGCGGACGGACCCGGTCTGGTGCAGACCCCGTCCGGCCCAGCCGTAATCCTGAATGGACAGGACCGGTGGATCTTCGGATCCGCGAGGACGTAAACCTCTATAAAAAATGCTCTAAGCCCACGTTCTGACGCCTGGCAAGGGGCTGAGTCGCTGGAGGGAGTCCAGTGCCGAAGGCGTCCCCGTCGAAGGACGTTAAACTAAACAACAATGACATGAGGCCAAAGATTATTAAATCTACCCAGGAGGGTCCCGGACACACAGTGTCTGGGGAATCCCTCCCGGAGCCAAACGGCTCCGGCAGCTCCCACTCGTATTCTGGGGGGAGCACCAAATGTCGAACCTGCCCGTCGCCGAGCAGTAAATCCGGCGACGTTATCGCGGAGGACGCGAAAAACCTGGAGGTAGTGTCGAACACCGACACTGCCTCGGAGAGGAGCGGAGCGAGTACCCCGATGGTCTCAGCTGCAGAGCAGCACCAGAAGGGTACTCCAAAGCGCAAAAGGCGCTCGCTTCGCCTGGGCCTGAAGAGGCAATTGGAGTCGGCCTCGAGCGATGAGGCCTCGGCTCCCAAAGTCGGCACAAGCCGCAGAGGCGCTCGCGGCGGAGGCCGACTCCCCACGTCCATGGTGGCCCGGAAGAAGGTGGCGGTCCAGCCCGCGGCGCTGGGAGGAGCCGAAGATGGGGGTCTCGGACGGAGAAGAGAGGAGGGGGTCGCGTCCGAGATGTCGACCACTGATGTGGGGAGCGGGGGTGGGGGTGCTGGCCTCGTTGAGCTGCGAGGCAAAACCGGCAACCCCGTCGACCGGATCGAGGAGGCAATCGGCGCAGCCGATTCCTTGCTTCAGACGTCCGGTGTGGCCGGGGGCCCCCAACAGGAGGCCCTGGTAGCGGTCGTGCGCTCCATAATCGAGGCGGGCAGACTCCTTGTGGCCGAGAGCAGGGCCCACGCTAGGGAGAGAGCCCGCCTCGAGGCGGATCTCGCCAAGGCTCGTGCCCACGCTGGTGCCACACCAGCGTCTTCGGCACCTGTGGCGTTGTCCGCCCGTAAGGAGCCGGACTTAGTCCGACTCGTGGCGGAGATGGAGGAGCGTATAATGAGGCGCATCTCCGCAATAGAGAGCGCCCGTTGTCGCCCACCTCTGGCTCCGCCAAGGGCAACCTATGCGGCCGCTGCCAAGGCGGGCCTAACAGCCCAGCCAGCAGCTAGGGTGGCTGGGCCGTCATCAGCGCCCCCGCCCCAGAAGACCGGAAACGGCAAAGGGAGGGGGAAGGCGGCCCCAACCCAAGCCCCAGTCTCGGCCCCGGCTGACACCGCACAGCGCTCGTTGGAGCGGGGCTGGACGGTGGCCGGGGACAACAAAAAGAGGCGGAAGGCCGCCAAAAAAGCGGCCAAGAAGGCGAGGAGGGACGCCGCCGCCGCCGCGAAGGGAGCGCCGAGGAAGCTCCGCGCCCCTCGCTCCTCGGCCGTCGTTATCACTTTGACGGCGGAGGCAGCGGAGAGGGGCGTGGGGTACGCCGAGGTCTTGACGAAAGTCAAGGCCAACGTGGACCTCAAAGCCCTCGAGATTCCGGGCGTCCGGTGTAAGAACACACGGACGGGAGCCCGGCTCCTCGAGGTAGCCGGCGCTACCAGTGGCCCCAAAGCCGATGCCCTAGCGGCTAAGCTGAGGGAGTCACTGGATGCAGCTGACGTCCGAGTGTCCAGGCCCACTAAATGCGCCGAAATCCGCATCACGGGCCTGGACGACTCTGTCACGGCGGACGAGCTCAGACTCGCCGTGGCGGAGACGGGAAGCTGCCCTCTGGACAGCGTGAAGGCCGGAGCAATACGCTTCGGCCCCGGTGGACAGGGGGCAGCTAGGGCTCAGCCTAATACTGCAAGGCGCCAGGTCTACTGGTGGTCGCCGGAGATCGCACGGCTGCGTCAAGCCTGCGTGACCGCGCGCCGCCAGTGGTCCAGGTTCCGCAGGAGGCGTCGCCGCCCCGAAGATGCGGCAGCGAGAGAGGCGGAGCTGTTAGCGGGTTACAGGGTTGCCAAGAGGACCCTTCAGGCAGCGATAAAGCGGGCCAAGAGCGAGGCCCGCCGCGAGATGCTGGAGACACTGGAGCGGGATCCGTGGGGACGCCCCTACCGTATGGTTAGGGGCAAGATGCGCCCATGGGCCCCGCCGCTCACACGGTGTCTTCAGCCAGAGCTGCTTGAGAGGGTCGTTGGCTCCCTGTTCCCAACGCGAGTGGTGGAGCATACTCCGCCACAGATGGCTCCGCCTCCGGCGCTTGAGGCGCCTAACGTGGATGACGACGACGTGCCTGAGGTCACTGGGGTTGAACTAAGGGTGGCGGTGTTACGGCTTAAAGCCAAAAACACCGCCCCGGGACCCGATGGCATTCCTGGCCGAGCGTGGGTCCTGGCCTTAGTCGACGAGGCTCTCGAGCCCCGACTGCGAGGGTTCTTCAGCGCATGCCTCGAGCGGGGCCAGTTTCCGAAATTGTGGAGGACGGGGAAACTGGTCCTCATCCGAAAGGAGGGGCGCCCGGCGGACTCACCGTCCGCCTACCGGCCCATAGTGTTGCTTGACGAGGTGTGCAAGCTCTTCGAAAGAGTGATTGCAAGGCGCCTCGTCAAGCATCTCGTGATGGTTGGGCCGGATCTGGCGGACAACCAGTACGGTTTCCGTCAGGGGCGCTCCACCGTGGATGCGATCATGCGCGTGAAGGCTCTGGCGGAGGAAGCAGTCTCCCGGGGCGAAGTGGTGTTGGCGGTGTCCTTGGACATCGCCAACGCGTTCAACACTATGCCCTGGAGCTGCATCAGGGAGGCGCTCGTGTATCACGAAGTGCCTCTCTACCTCCGCCGCATAGTCGGGGCATATTTGTCGGAGAGAGCCGTCGTCTACCCCAGTAGGACCGGTCTCGGTAGGCGTGAAATGTCGTGCGGTGTTCCGCAGGGGTCGGTGTTAGGGCCACTCTTGTGGAACATCGGCTACGACTGGGTGCTTCGTGGTGCCTTCTTGGATGGTGTCGCCGTCGTGTGCTACGCGGACGACACACTCGTGACGGCGCGCGGCAAGACGCACCACGAGGCAACCCTGAGGGCCACGGCCGGGGTTGCCCAAGTCGTTGAGCGTATCCGGCGGCTGGGTCTCGAGGTGGCTCTGCACAAGTCCGAGGCCCTGTTCTTCCACGGGCTTCGGAGGAAGCCGCCTGAGGGATCTAGCCTCACGGTAGGAGGCACTCGCATCGGCATCGAGCCCTCGATCAGGTATCTGGGGCTCTTACTCGATGGCCGATGGGACTTCGGATATCATTTCCGAGGTCTGGTCCCCAAGTTGGTTGGGGCAGCGCGTGCGTTGGCGCGGCTGCTGCCCAACATGAAGGGACCCGATGACTCCTGCCGGAGACTCTACTCGGGGGTTGTGCGGTCCATGGCCCTTTACGGGTGCCCAGTATGGGCGGGGGCCCTGAAGGCCAGCAACGTCGCGATACTGCGGCGACCGCAGCGAATGCTGGCCATCAGGATCATAAGGGGGTACCGCACGATCTCCTTCGAGGCGGCGAGTCTCCTGGCCGGAACTCCACCGTGGGACCTGGAGGCGAGAGCCCTTGCAGCACTGTATCAGTGGCGCAAGGAGGCGCAGGAGTTGGGTCGATACCCCGAGATTCGAGAAATCGATGACCGGAAATCCCAACTCCGCCAGGTCATCATAGGGGAGTGGAGGGAACGACTCGGGCAACCGAGCGCCGGGCACGCCGTCATTGCGGCGGTAAGACCCGTTATGGAGGATTGGCTCGAGAGGCGTCACGGGACTCTCTCATACCGATTGACGCAGGTGATCACTGGGAAGGGATGTTTCGGAGATCACCTGTGTCTGATCCGCAAGGAGCCAACGCCTGAGTGCCACCACTGCGATGGCCAGACCGTGGACACGGCTCTCCACACGCTGGCAGAGTGCCCGGCGTGGGTTGAGCAGAGGCGAGACCTCGTGGCGGCCATCGGAGTGGGAGTTCTCTCGCTCGATAGCCTGATTGCGGCTATCGTGCGGAGCGAGAGTGCGTGGAACTCTGCCGTCTCCTTCTGCGAGCAAGTTATGCTCGCGAAGGAGACGGCGGAGCGGGACCGGGAGAGGTTTAGAACTCTCCCGGCCCGCCAGGCCCGGGCACGGGCCAGGCAGCGCAGGCGACTCAGGCGCCGGAGGTCGCAGAACGACCTCCGTCCTCCATAAGCGCAGGCCTGGGGGTGACAGGTGAGGCCATCTGTCACCCTAGCAGAAGCAGGCCGGGGTGGCGGCGAGCGCGTTGCGAAGCGCGCTCGCTTTCAGGGAGCACAGGGAACATGGGGTTCCCACACGGGGCGGGGGTCGTCTACTCGTCTGTAGATGACCCGAGGTATGTCGGGGCACCAGGGCCTTCCTTCTAGGGTATACCTGGTTCCCCGGCTATTAGTACCCGGCGAAGGCGTGCGGTTTTAGTCGGTTCGAGTCCGACATGCCACCGACAGGTGGTATCCGAGGGGATTTCCGCACGGAAAAAAAAAAAAAAAAAAAAAAAAAAAAAAGGCATATCATAAATGTTATATATGTTTTATTTACTTTGTATTTTTATTCTATTTGACAAAACAGAGATATCAAGACACACACAATAGCAACTATTGTGTGTGTCTTGATCTACGACTTTAGAGTCTAAATAAAAGACTATTTCAAACATTTTTTTATGATATAAAGATATTTTGAATTGAATTGAATTGAATTGAAAAAACGACACTGGCTCTGTAACACATTTCTTCCTTGTACAGTATGAAAAAATATATTAACTATCAGAAATGATCGAATCTCTGTAATCTCTTACAAACAATCGTTCCATTATACTGTATAGTAATCGATAATTGTTATACTATTTATCTAAGTTATAAAACCGCAATAGTATAATATAATTGAGTTAAAAGACCATTCTAGACATTGGTGGAAGAGGTTATATGACCTTCGGCCCGAAACAGACGAATTAGACAATTTATCTTACAAAAGCAAATGTAATGAAAGAAAGCTTAGAATATTAAGGTTTATACACAATAAGCTTAGGGTATTCAGAAGTATGTTATACTCGTATTGATTGGTAATTCTGAAAGGTTTGTAAATATTAAGTAACAACATTTGGCATGTAGTGTTGACACCTATTCATCATCATCATCATCAACAGTCTTTAATAGTCCACTGCTGGACATAGGCCTCTCCTTAGAAAGGAGGTTTTGGCCTACTATACCACGCTGGCCAGACGGGTTGATATAGTTTTTGTTTCAATTTTCCTTCTCTTTGCCCTAATATTTGACACCTATTAAATATATTCAAATTTTATAGCAACATACCACGTTCGGTGACACTTTGACTGTGGCAATGGCATCAGGCGTCCCATTATTTATTTACTAGCTTTTACCCGCGGCTCCACCTGCGTGTACATATGTTGGTTTAATTGCTGTGGAAAGTAGACTATGTCATTCCTCAAGAATCAAAATATCTCCATGCTAAATTTCATTAAAATCGGTTTAGCGGTTTACAGACGGACAGACAGAGTTACTTTCGCTTTTTATAATATTTTACAACTTTAAGGGATGATTTCGCTGATAAAAAACTATTCTATAACCTTTAGTTTGAATTATGGGGGCCTTCATTATAACTTACCTACCACCAAATTTCATCTAAATCGAGTCAGCGGTTATTGATTTCCTTATAAAAACTTACACCCCCCTTTTCACCCCCTTTAATAATGATTTCTAGGATAATTCCTAGATGGGGACCAGTGAGCCCTGTGTGAAAAAAAACACACACACAATGAATACCAGAAAATATCGAGTAGATAATTCTGCCCTCTGATTAAGAAGGAGATCATGTACCTTCTTTTTAAATACCAATATACTTATATGTGTTATTTAAAAACATATACATTTAATCCATATATCTATAAAAGTGTGGAGGAACGGGTGTCATGTCCCTCCAACACAAAGGGAGAATCCTCCGACCAGGCGAGGTGATCATGGTTGATGTTAGGAAGTTGTATATATGCTAATCGCCGAGGGAATTCTTTATATCGCGATACAGGATTAGCAATTCTTATTTTAGTAGTTACACACATCAAGTAGTTACTCCGTAGTTCGGTGTGTCTTCATTAGATGGCGATGTAGTGTGTTTCTGTTTCTTTGTATGTGGGAGTCGCCACAAAAGAAAAGGAAGAAAAGAAAAAGAAAGAAACTCTATCCTCTATCCTGTGTTCAGTGTGAACATCTATAGCAACAAAATATTGGTCACAATAATATTATTTCACTTTGTTTCAGACAGCTTATAATTTGCGCTCGTCATTACGACGGTGTTTATAAAACCTTCAACAACTATTGTGAAATGGAGTACGAGAATTGCAACGGATGGAGAAGTAAGTGTTTTACTTTAGAAAATCTTGAAATGTTGGCAACTGTTGACAATTTAACCATGGAATACCGGACAGGACAGGAGTGAACCTATGGACTCAGAGAAAAATGCTTTTAAGCAGTTTTTGTTGCTTTTCACGGAGTGACTGACGTTACCGGGGCTCAAACCCGACTGACTGCACAGATGGCGTAGTGGTTTGGTTTGTAGTTGGTAGTGGTCGACACGCCGCTGACTACTACGATGAGTGTTGTGGGTTCGATCCCCACATGGGACGACACTTTGTATGATTCACAAATTGTTGTTCTAAGTCTGGGTGTTCTTTGTGTACGTTTCATGTATGTTTGTAAAGTCCCCCGAGACTAATGCGGGAGTTGTCTTTAAAAAAAAAAAGAAATAAGAAAGTCCCTGATTCTAGGGGGAGTGGCCCAAAGGGTGGCAATGTTCTTGTGATTCTTAAGTTGTATTGACCCAAAGGCGGTGGTAGTCACTTACCATCAGGTAAATCAATTGATTGTCGCCCCTTCTGCTATAAAAAAAAACAGTGGCACTGCGGGAGTGCCGACAGAAGTAAAAAAAATGATATTTAATGTTTTTTTTTCTTTTTTTCAATTTGAAAAGTTCCCGACATGAATATACTATACTATAATATACACAATATATGTTTATATTTTATATAGTTATATTATCAATGTATTTCAACCCAAACTCAACACTCGTGTAAACGGGGCCAATATATGAAGGTATTTAGACACAGAGGTGTTGGCAACGCTAACAGTGTCACGACTTCAATGGTTTTTTCCTATCTCAAAAAATAAATTTTTATGTTTGTTATTCAAAAATGGCCAACGCGCCTAAATAACTTTTCCTTTCAACAACATTTTTACATAACTCTTAAGCTAACGCGAACAAACACGATAAAAAAGTAATAAATACCATTGAATTTACCAAGAAAAAGAAATGGAATTGCTTGACATATCAACCATATTGTACTAGTTAACTGCATAACATAAAAGAATTACTATAATGTCAGAGTTAGCGTTTCCCACTCTACTCAAATATTTTAGGTGAATACATCTTCTATTTGCATTGTTCTGATGTTCCTACATGTGAAATAAACGTATTTCCGAAAAGAGTTTTCTTATAACCCGGCAATCTCGTGCGCGACCGTCCCGCGGGGTGACAGACAGTGGCGGGGGGAGGTAGCGCGTCATTCCAGGACACGGCTACACACGAAGAGAAGCGTTTCCCTTCCCCGCTACACCACCGGCTACCCGCTGATATCTTGAGTACCTCGTCCCCGCCACCGTCTGTCACCCCGCAGGACGGTCGCGCACGACGTTGATGGACTATAGTATATTTATAGAAAATTGTCGTTATTACTTTCGTAAAGTTCAAATTCATTTTAATTTCAAATTACATACTCGCAGATGAGAAAATACTAAATACCCTGAATAACAACCGAACATAAGCCAAAATATAAAAGAAACAATGTAACAGACTCGTATAATGCCTTATCACAGGTTACGACCACTTTCAAGATATATTACAGGTTTAAGAGGCTTTTGCTTTCATGTAGGTGTGAGAGTTACCTGATAGGTTTATATGACTTTATCTCTGAGTAATGAGCAGCGTATGTTCATCACTCCTGTTGTAACTCTCACCCTTAACCCTATACCAACCCGTCTGGCCAGCGTGGTATAATAGGCCAAAACCTCCTTTCTAAGGAGAGGCTTATGTCCAGCAGTGGACTATTAAAGGCTGTTGATGATGAAGATGAATTACATCTTTGTCTTAATGAAACAAGAAGCCATTTTATTAAACACCAAAATACTTATTTTTCAGAATGGAGTTTGGTCAAGCAAGAAAGATGTTGATTTGAATTTTGCTTATAAGTTTTCAACAGGCGCTTCATAGAAAATTGTTTATATTTTTACATAAATAGCTCTACATAAGGGTTTTTCCTTAACAATAATAAGATTATTACAACTAAATCGACCTTTCGCTCTATGGTTTTAAGAAACAATTTGAAATGTTACAACAATGTTACAATTTAAAACTCTTTTAACAAGAGACTTTTTTACAGTTAACATTGCTATTGTAAATACAATTTAAATACATTTTAGTATGTTATTTTAAGTAATTAATAGCATTATTAATTAACTAAATGTATACGAAAATAAGCATTATATTTATTTAATTTTTGCAAACAAACTTGAGGCATTCACCCGCTGGTTGCAGAAAATATAATGTACAAATTATAGTAGGCTTCGTTCGAGTATGTTAAAGATTAGGAAGCTGGATAAAATACGGCACACTAAAATAATAAAAATAACAAAATCAACAAACGCTCTGAAAAATTGAAATGAAAGTGGGCAGGACATGTTGCGCGGCAAACAAATCATAGATGGACCAACAAGTAACATTCTAGAACGGCCCACTAGAATGGCCCAAAAGAATAAGAGGTAGACCTATTATAAGATGGGAAGATGATATTAAAGCAATAGCTGGTCTAAACTGGAGACAAGCAGCTGAAGACAGAGGCAAATGGGCAACACTGGAGGAGGCCTTCCCCCATTCTGGGGTAGACTACGTAAAAATTTAGTAACTATAAATACTACACATAGAATACTCATAAAATTATATTAAATAAGACAAAAATAAACAACATACTCGTAGAATAGACTAAATAAAACTAACACATACAAAGAATTTTAAGAAATGTAAATTTACTGGAAATAAAAAAGGCTTTTTTTAATAAAATAAAATTATTGTGTTATAGTAGTCGTCATTAATTTTCGATAGAGAATTTGTTTATCATGTTTATGCAAAGTCTCGTTATGTTTTGTTCGGCACAAAATAAACCCAGAAAAGGTACGCCGAGAAACGACCGCCGATATAATCATTCTATTCACCCTCTGTGTATTTCTCTTTTTAACCGACTTCAAAAACACAAAAGAGGAGATTATCAATTCGTTTGTATTTTCTTTTGTATGTTTGTTACACGATATCTCCCATAATTGTAGACCGATTTTCAAAATTCTTTTTGCAATCGAAAGGGTATGCTCCCCAGGTAGTCCCGGTACCACCAAATCAGAATGTGATTATGTAATCTTAGAGAAATCGAGGGAAACCCTCAGATTTTACAGTCCTGAAAACGTGTTTTTGCTTATTTCTCTAGCTTTATAGGTATTTGCGTTTATATTGCTGAAATGATGATGGAAGGGTCCTTGACCTTTAGGAGTTAGAAAATAACACTTTCAAATATCTAATCACATATTGACCTTGTTTTATTCTTTCAAGATATTTGTTAGGTGTTTATGTGGAACCACAGAGATATGTACAAAAGACAGTAATAAATGAGATTACGAAACGTTTAGACAAAATAAAAATGTTTGTTACGCTGTTATTTTTATGTTTGTTACCTCATAACTCTTTCATTTGTAAACCGATTATGAAAAGTCTTTGTTTATTGGGAATCGTATATTTCGGTTTTAGTTCCATTCAAATGTGAAGAAATAATACCACTCCTAGTTTTGGAAAATTAAGTAATGTGGAAAACAATATATTTTCGGGTTCAAATGTAACATCTCACTACCTTATCTAAATAAAGTAACGGAGTTATTAAACTATATTTAATGTAATCTAACTTAACACAGTTTGGTACTATACATTACGGTACTTGGTGTTTTAAATATCGTACTTATCTACTCATTGCAAACATACCCTGTACTTAAAATGGTAAAAAAAAATACTTAATAAAAAGTTGAACCGACTTCAAAGAATACTGACAAACAGCACTAAAAATTAAAAAATAATTTCAATTCTAAGTAAAAAAACTATAATACGTACCCTCAATATAACAGGTAACATTATAATAGCAATAGTCTGTTTGAAGTCGGTGCCAAGCCAAATAGGTGTTTGATAGGCTTGGTACAACTTTTCACATTACACTGTCAGAAGAACGCCTCAATAGTGATAGAATATTGAAATGTATAATTCGAAGTCTTGTAATCTATAATGTAATATGTCTATTGTCCTTTGTTGGAGTCGGTGCATGGGTGTAATATCGTCATCACCATCAGCTTATCGCCGTCCACTGCTAAACAAATCAAATCTAGAGTATTTATCGTAGGTAATCTTTATTTTCATCATTATGAAATGTGACAATAACACAACGTATAAAAATAAACATTTAGACAAAAAGGAAATAAAAGAAAGTTTCTTAGATATAAGTCCATATTATTATAGCGATTTTCAATACATGTAATGGTTTTTCAAAAACTATAATAAACATGTTCTTATAAATCAGAAACAAAGGAACCTAAAAGGATCGTTGCTAATCCGGGTCTAGAGCTGTCCTGTACAGGCCTGGGCTCCTGCGCCGGACAGGCCTGTCGACATCGATGCTGAAGCACAGTGGTTCCGGGAGGCCATGACCCGCGTCTGCGATGCGGCGATGCCTAGGGCTCAGCCCAATACTGCAAGGCGCCAGGTCTACTGGTGGTCGCCGGAGATCGCACGGCTGCGTCAAGCCTGCGTGACCGCGCGCCGCCAGTGGTCCAGGTTCCGCAGGAGGCGTCGCCGCCCCGAAGATGCGGCAGCGAGAGAGGCGGAGCTGTTAGCGGGTTACAGGGTTGCCAAGAGGACCCTTCAGGCAGCGATAAAGCGGGCCAAGAGCGAGGCCCGCCGCGAGATGCTGGAGACACTGGAGCGGGATCCGTGGGGACGCCCCTACCGTATGGTTAGGGGCAAGATGCGCCCATGGGCCCCGCCGCTCACACGGTGTCTTCAGCCAGAGCTGCTTGAGAGGGTCGTTGGCTCCCTGTTCCCAACGCGAGTGGTGGAGCATACTCCGCCACAGATGGCTCCGCCTCCGGCGCTTGAGGCGCCCAACGTGGATGACGACGACGTGCCTGAGGTCACTGGGGTGGAACTAAGGGTGGCGGTGTTACGGCTTAAAGCCAAAAACACCGCCCCGGGACCCGATGGCATTCCTGGCCGAGCGTGGGTCCTGGCCTTAGTCGACGAGGCTCTCGAGCCCCGACTGCGAGGGTTCTTCAGCGCATGCCTCGAGCGGGGCCAGTTTCCGAAATTGTGGAGGACGGGGAAACTGGTCCTCATCCGAAAGGAGGGGCGCCCGGCGGACTCACCGTCCGCCTACCGGCCCATAGTGTTGCTTGACGAGGTGTGCAAGCTCTTTGAAAGAGTGATTGCAAGGCGCCTCGTCAAGCATCTCGTGATGGTTGGGCCGGATCTGGCGGACAATCAGTACGGTTTCCGTCAGGGGCGCTCCACCGTGGATGCGATCATGCGCGTGAAGGCTCTGGCGGAGGAAGCAGTCTCCCGGGGCGAAGTGGTGTTGGCGGTGTCCTTGGACATTGCCAACGCGTTCAACACTATGCCCTGGAGCTGCATCAGGGAGGCGCTCGTGTATCACGAAGTGCCTCTCTACCTCCGCCGCATAGTCGGGCCATATTTGTCGGAGAGAGCCGTCGTCTACCCCAGTAGGACCGGTCTCGGTAGGCGTGAAATGTCGTGCGGTGTTCCGCAGGGGTCGGTGTTAGGGCCACTCTTGGGGGTGGGGTGCTTCGTGGTACCTTCTTGGATGGTGTCGCCGTCGTGTGCTACGCGGACGACACACTCGTGACGGCGCGCGGCAAGACGCACCACGAGGCAACCCTGAGGGCCACGGCCGGGGTTGCCCAAGTCGTTGAGCGTATCCGGCGGCTGGGTCTCGAGGTGGCTCTGCACAAGTCCGAGGCCCTGTTCTTCCACGGGCTTCGGAGGAAGCCGCCTGAGGGATCTAGCCTCACGGTAGGAGGCACTCGCATCGGCATCGAGCCCTCGATCAGGTATCTGGGGCTCGTACTCGATGGCCGATGGGACTTCGGATATCATTTCCGAGGTCTGGTCCCTAAGTTGGTTGGGGCAGCGCGTGCGTTGGCGCGGCTGCTGCCCAACATGAAGGGACCCGATGACTCCTGCAGGAGACTCTACTCGGGGGTTGTGCGGTCCATGGCCCTTTACGGGTGCCCGGTATGGGCGGGGGCCCTGAAGGCCAGCAACGTCGCGATACTGCGACGACCGCAGCGAATGCTGGCCATCAGGATCATAAGGGGGTACCGCACGATCTCCTTTGAGGCAGCGAGTCTCCTGGCCGGAACTCCACCGTGGGACCTGGAGGCGAGAGCCCTTGCGGCACTGTATCAGTGGCGCAAGGAGGCGCAGGAGTTGGGTCGATGCCCCGAGACTCGAGAAATCGAGAACCGGAAATCCCAACTCCGCCAGGTCATCATAGGGGAGTGGAGGGAACGACTCGGGCAACCGAGCGCCGGGCACGCCGTCATTGCGGCGGTAAGACCCGTTATGGAGGATTGGCTCGAGAGGCGTCACGGGACCCTCTCATACCGATTGACGCAGGAGATCACTGGGAAGGGATGTTTCGGAGATCACCTGTGTCTGATCCGCAAGGAGCCAACGCCTGAGTGCCACCACTGCGATGGCCAGACCGTGGACACGGCTCTCCACACGCTGGCAGAGTGACCGGCGTGGGTTGAGCAGAGGCGAGACCTCGTGGCGGCCATCGGAGTGGGAGTTCTCTCGCTCGATAGCCTGATTGCGGCTATCGTGCGGAGCGAGAGTGCGTGGAACTCTGCCGTCTCCTTCTGCGAGCAAGTTATGCTCGCGAAGGAGACGGCGGAGCGGGACCGGGAGAGGTTTAGAACTCTCCCGGCCCGCCAGGCCCGGGCACGGGCCAGGCAGCGCAGGCGACTCAGGCGCCGGAGGTCGCAGAACGACCTCCGTCCTCCATAAGCGCAGGCCTGGGGGTGACAGGTGAGGCCATCTGTCACCCTAGCAGAAGCAGGCCGGGGTGGCGGCGAGCGCGTTGCGAAGCGCGCTCGCTTCCAGGGAGCACAGGGAACATGGGGTTCCCACACGGGGCGGGGGTCGTCTACTCGTCTGTAGATGACCCGAGGTATGTCGGGGCACCAGGGCCTTCCTTTCTAGGGTATACCTGGTTCCCCGGCTATTAGTACCCGGCGAAGGCGTGCGGTTTTAGTCGGTTCGAGTCCGACATGCCACCGACAGGTGGTATCCGAGGGGATTTCCGCACGGAAAAAAAAAAAAAAAAAAAAAAAAAGGGTCTAGAGCTGTCCTCAACCGTTTGCAAAATATGATCATAATATGCTTACATTTAAATTCACGTGGAACTTATAGTACAACAAAATGCTAATATATGTTTTTATGACTTGTGACGAAAAGTTAAATTAATTGAGCTTATAACTCAATACTTAAACATAAAACGTTGAAATTAAAAACAAAATTAAAACAAATTCTTCATGGAAAAAACAATTCTGTACGTTTTTTTAAACCCTAAACTAAAATATTTCATAGAAACTTAAGGATATTTTCCGTCTTCATACTTAAATTAAGTTTACTGCGTACAAAAATTTTGTTGTGTTCTTTAGTGTAAACACTAAAGAAATAAATAAAAAAATCCTTTTTCAAATAATATACATAACATTCAAATATGTTATTTATCCTTGTTTAGGAGCAGATAATAAAAAATGTGGAAGAACAATATATTTATTTAACACCCAAGGCTGTACGTATAAAAACAAGAACAAATATTTTTTTTTGCTTCCACAAATATACTAGACAAATTTTCAACCTCATCAAAATTAATAATGTCGTATTGACAGGATTTTGAGATGGTTTCAATGAGCCAATGTTCTTAACACTAGTTAACTTCTTCTGAACATTCACCGTCATGAGCGAACGCCCACAATACACCTGAAAAATGAACAAATAATTAAATGATCATCTACATATATCTACAGTTGCATGATTGTGAAGTTGCAGTAAATGACTGAATCGCTAGGCATTCACTAATCTGACCGCATCCGGCTGATTCAGTAAGGTAATGTATTTTTTCGAAACGAGATGTCACAATTTTTTAATTCAACTATACAGCGAATGCTGGATTAGTCAGATTACTGGATTCGGTTATCTGGATTGCAGTCGCTATTACAGCTGTTTTTAAGTGTAAGAACGCCATTTTTCGATTTGCTTTCTGACATTTTCTTCAAGCTCTGAGTCCTCTGGATGACAAAAACAAACGTATTTGTTGAAGAAATGGTTATTTACTTGAACTTTTAAATTAAATTACTTACCTTCTGGATTGACTGTTATTGGTTTAAGATATTCAGGTCCTCCCAATTGATCTAGACCAGCTATAAAAAAAAGTATATTAATAATAAAGCAAGGAGGTTGCAGCGATAGTATAATATCATCTAATAAAGACACTGAAATACGAATTAAAAAAAATATTTACTGCTAAAGTAGAATTTTGATGAGTCTCCTTCACCTACTTTTCTACTTAATTGTATCAAATGATAAATTATACACCACTTAGCCTCAGAGTATTAATATACATATTAAAATAATAACAAAATGTCAAAAAAATCTGGATTTTGTAATTTGAAGGATTTATCAGCAGCAGTTCTTGTTGTCAATAAATTCAACCCTTTAAGTTTTACCACCCTAATTCTGAATGGGGGACACTTAAAAGGTGGTAAGATAGTTGTCTCTTGACTTACAAATATCCATCGAAATTCGCCATCAGATGATCCGTCTACTCCTTTACCCCTTACAACATAAAAACTAATGTCCCCGTAGGTCAAGGCAAAAGGTAGATTGCTTTTGAAATTTACGTTAATAGGTGAAAAGAGGAAGTATATTACGAATAATTTAATTAAGTCGTTTACGGTCTATAATTGGGGCTTTGCAGTTTTCATAGTTCAATTCGCAAATATCCTTAAAAGTTTTTCTCGCTGATGTATGACGGCCACAGACCATCTGAGACCTGGAACAAAACAGTTGTAAGTTTGTGGCGACTTCCACATACTATAAAAGAAAACTCACTTCAGTGTCATCTAACTCAATCCCAAAATAACTTTATTTCATAAAAAAATTAAAACTATTTGAAATCGTCTCTTGTGTAAACTCTAAAGTCATAGATCAACGCACACAACAGCAACAATCTACGAGTATGTTTTGTCAAATATTTATCAAACTAAATTTATACGTTTCCAAAATCTCTTATATGCCGTTGCCGATATACAACCGCCCATTTGCAAGGGGTTGAGCCTTATGAGAAGAAAGGACATAAAAACTCACAGCCACTCTTTTTAATTAACAGATACGAATGATGAAAAAAATAATGCATCATTAAATATACACAACATTGTTTTGATGTGTGCCAGTGTGTAAGTTTTAAGGACTAAAAGGTAAGAAGGCAATATAGAGAAAACAAGATATATAAAAAGATCAAATAAAAAAGAAAGCGAAGTAAAACATTAAATAATGAACAATTAAATAAAAGGCACAGTAGCCCACATCACATTTCCACTACGAAATAGCCTGTTTTAAATTAATAAATGAATCCCAAGCATTCTTGTCTTCTATGTAATCCACAATTGAGTAATAGGCTTTCTGACATAGTTTACGTTTTACTGTGGATTTAGTTGTTTATACTAAAATCTGGTATACTATTTGGGATTTTATTATAGAATTGGACACATTGACCTTGTTTGAAATTACATCTAATGAAGACATATCGAACTACGGAGTAACCACTAATTCTGTATCGCACAACGATAGTTATAACGCTAATTGAAATATATACACAACTTGCTAGTATTAAACATTGGGCTGTGCTCGCCATAAACGATCTGCTTAAATCCTACATACATTACGATATGTAAGGATTACCATAAACCCTGCATATATATAAGATTTTTTTATAAAACTGCAAAGCTTCTTAAGAACAATTCCAGACTTCACGAAGTTTTTCATCCTATAAGGTGACAAACCAGCAGACGGTGACCCGTCCCGTAGTTACTTACCACCAGGTGACCCTGAGGGTGAACTACCGAAGTCCATGGACACCTGTAACTTAAGAGTCATAAGTGCGTTGTCACCCTTTGCGTCTCTACCATTAGAGTCAAGGAGAGAAGAGCTTTGGGCTCCAGAATCCTCACTCACTCACTGAGAAGCAACAAGAGAATTACTGAACACTGGTTTAAAGACTAGTCCAATAGCTAGTAGTTGAGACTTCTTCAGAATATTGAGTAAGTCACTTTCTGATTCTGCTTTCCATAAGTAAAAATTAATACAACAGCACTGCAGAGAGAAGGAACAATTTACACAAACCCTATACCAACACGGCTAGTCAGCTCTCCTTAGAAAGGAGATTATGGCCTACTATACCACGCTGGCCAGACCGGTTGGTATAGGGTTTGTTTTAAGTTTTCCTTCTCTGCAATGGTGTTGTTCTGCGTAATTTTTTCCCTTAGTCGGCTCTTACGACACCCATACATAACCCGGCTGGACATAAGCAGTGGAATATTAAAGACTGTTGATGATGATGATGAATACTTACAATTCATGTTGCATCCGGTGACAATCAACTAATTCACCCATACAAACTTCTAAGTCCAAGTGCCTGGCCGATTTGTTCCCAAACATATCTAGGAGTTCGGGTGGCATTGGCCTCCCTGTTGCCTCCTCGGGTAATCTGATATCTTCATCATCGTAATCAGTTTCTTCCATTTGTGTCAACGCTATAGCTGAAATAGAATTGCCTTTATCTAAAACTAACTTTTGCCCGCGGCTCCGATGACATGTGTATTGATTATCGTGGTAAATAGTAGGCTAAAGCAATATATTATACTACTTTTCTAACAGTATAAGAATGTTCAAAATCGGATCAGTAGTACTAGAGATTACCTCGAAAATACAAACTCACAAACTTTACCTCTTTATAATATTAGTATAGATACCTTCACAGGAACATTTTTATAAGTATATTCCTAGTAAGAAGTACCTTCAATCCCTCAGAAATGTGTTCAAGGATATACTATGAAACTCTACAATAGATAGGGAAAAAAGAAATCCTCCAGAAATGAATGTGACCACCCAATATGTATTTATTTAGAGTAGAGAATCAAGGAGCTGGTAGGTCATGGGAGTATCCCCCAAACTCACTAAATGGATTTCAGGTTTAATTTAGAGCTGCAATATTACTTTCGTAAGTATGTGTTAATATATATAACCTTAATAAGTTTTGTTGGGTATTATGGAATCCAGAGAGTTGCTAATGAAGACAGACACTAACTGGTAATAGGTTACTATACTTTTTTTATGGTATAGGGCGATACTGTAACGGCAATTCGATAGTTACCAGTGCATTGCCACCCTTCCCGCCCCCCCCCCCTCCTCGCGAATCAGGGAGAGAATAATCTCACTCACTCGATAAAAAGCTACGAAAACAGTAATTCATTTGTCACAGTATTACTGAGGTACACAGTATTACAAATGAAAATAAAATAGCTGTCCTCACATAATCAGTATTTTTACAAAAACTAAACAGCATAATGCCTGTCGGCTCTAAACACGATACAGATGTAAAAGATATCTTTACTTAAGAGCATATCTTACGACATTGCCTAAGATAACGACATTTGAAATGCAGGCGGGAAATAAGACACGATGATAGTGTGGTCGTGTTATAGTACATTATTGTAGGAAAGCACATACGTAGGCTGGACTGGAGTAATGCCATGGCCTCACTGAAGACTTGACAATTTTTTCGTTGCTTTTTACTGAGTAATTGTAGAGTGATGGTTTTGATTGGAAACCTAAGACTTCCCTAACTGTGGGGCATCCAAAGGCCCGATTAAAGTGTCCTTGGGTGTTAGTAGTCATTTACTATCAGGTAAAAATTTATATAATAAAGAAATATATATTTATGATATACATACGTAATAATATGTAATATAAATCATCCTAAAGAACTAAAATCAATACTTACCAGATAAAAAACAGATAATTATATCAGCTATAAACATCTTTTGTAATATTTCATTTTACATGCTACTCAATTCACGAGTTACTAATTTAGAAAATTTTAGAAAAACCATGAGTCTACTAAATTAGTGGGAAAATTACATTATTATGACTGCAATTAAGATAACGATAATTTTATGCAGTAGTTTGAAAGGAAATACAATATCAATGGCTAATAGTTAACAAAGCAACTTTAATTATCCGGAGGCCAAAAGGAGTTCTCTGTTAAAACCTTTTGAATCCCTCTACTAAGGGGATACCAATAGTTTTACTCAGATAATTTAAATATGTAAATTTAAATAAAGAATTGGACTTTAGTTTTATACATATATATATAACTTCAAAGGTAGTTAAATAAAAACTTTTAATGTAGCCCTAAAAACATCGCTCTGGAGCAATCAGGAATAAAAAGCAACACGTAGAACGTGTGTGAAAGTTGCATGGAATTCTTCCTAAAAAACCGAATTCAGTGTTTAAGAGTTACTTCCATTCAGTAAAGGTTGTCACGTGCCGGAGTTAACTGAATGACTACATGAGAACAAAAAGTTGGTTAATTTACAGGATTAAGAAATTCTAAATTCAGTGAGTAGATTATGTCTATCGGATCACATATTGTCGACGAATATTTCATCTATGAGAGAGCTCACTTTGGCAGGCAGTACATAATGGGCCAAAGTTACTAAATTGGTCCGTAGGACCTACAGGAAATTGGTGTAAGCAATTCCTTCGTTGCAGCTCAACAAGTGATTGAGGTCACCGAGACCTAAAATAATCCTAAAATTAAAATTAATGTCAAACGAAAACTGTTACCCATTTATGGAAAAGTCGCAAAAGTAGTATTTTTTTATTTCTTAATTTTTTTATAGAGAATTGACGTAAAATATTAACTATGTGTAGTAACATTTTAAAAGGGTGATCCCGTTTTAAAATGTTGAATGTTGTCTAAAATAAATTATAATTAAAATATTTAGTTTCTATTTTTTCCCAGAGTCTGATCATTAAATCCTAAAAAAATAAGATACCTTTTTTAAAGTAAAAAAAAAACAATACAGCCGTCTTTGAGTAACAATACACAAAAACAGAAACACAAAAAGAACAGACAAAGAAACAGAAATAAAAAATTTTGATAAATGAAGAACCTCCTTCTTCTTTTCAAGAGAAAAGATATACTATCTTGGATTCTTGAAACACAAACACATTAAACAGTTTTCAAGTCTTCAGTGTAATACAAGTACAAACTTTTTCAAACAAAAGATTTATCGGACCTCTTTTGCCAATTGTAGTAAAGATGCATCGCTTAGAATGACAGTTAATTAAAATGAATCTGATGCATTCGACTTAATATAAAAGAAGAAATGAGTATACAATTCTTATTCAAAGAGATTATTTATTTAAAAAAAACATCCTTAAAACTATATCAAATATGGGTTCGTATGCAATATTAGTACTTTACGTTCAGGGCTCATGCAAACGTAACGTACAATATTGTCGTCGTAACAAGTACATAATATATCTACAAGTATTTACAGGAGAAATTATTAATCTAGAACTCGAAATTAAAGGAACTTTGTACACCGTTATTCTAAAACAATTGACGTTATAGTTTATATGCTTTGCATTTCTACACTTATTTGTTCATGCTATTTAAAGCAGGCCTTTAGTCAGAAAATTTGAGAACACTGTGATGTCTTCGTGTTGGCGGTGACTGTGTGCTCCAATTGTGCCAAAGCCGTGAGTTCTGTATCCATTTTTCTATTCTTTACTCTTGTGGTTTTCTTCATCTCTCTCTTTTTGCAGCAACATAATATTTCCATAAATTCTTTTCTGAAATTATCATTTAGCCATCCGTATAACAGCGGATTTGAAACAGCGCTTGACATCCCAAACATGTGGCAGATCGCATACGTTATTGTCATCGTCTTCTCCTCCATGAAAGGTTGTGCACTAAAGTCTGCTACCAAGTTGAAAACGTTTAATGGTAGCCAGCTAATAACGTAAGTTACAGCTATCGCTATAAGTATTGTTGGAGTTTTTCTTGTCATCCTTCTTCGGCCTCTTAGTCTTCTGTGGATTTGAACGTGGGCAATAACAACTACGAGAACTGGTAGTAAGTACTGGAAGATGAGACTAAATAAAGAGTACATAGCTCGTCCATTCTCGAGCGGCCAGTCTTCTATGCAGAAACTTAACGAGGGTAACTCGATGAGCTGGAGATAGTAGGTCTTGAGGCTTCTGAACATATAGAGTGGAGATGCAAGGGTGAAAGCAGTGACCCATATGAAGAACATGGTGATGAGAGCACCCATAGTCTGCAGGCCTGGTCGCGTTGGATAGACGATTAACTGTGGACAAAGGAAGTAGAATAAGTCAAATAAATAGATGAAAACAAAATTGAATTCATAGAAATATTGGGACAGTGTTGATTTGTTTAAATGAAGATAAATCATTTTTCGGGTCTAAATAGCTTAGATAAACTACAGTTACAAGTAAATACTTTTTGACAAATAATTTACGTATAAATATCAATAAAGGAATATGAGGAGGGCGACTAAGATTAGAGATTTAAAATAGTTTAATTTAAATAATATTTTAATGAGAGCTTGAGACCTAAGCACAATAATTCTTGACGGGCCTGTTGGTCTAGTGGTTAGTGACCCTGACTGCTAAATCGAAGGTCGTGGGTTCGATTCCCACCCAGGACAAATAATGTGTGATGAGCACGGTCATTTGTTCTGTGTCTGGGTGTAATTTATCTATAATATCTATGTATTTAGAAATATATAAGTATGTTTATCAGCAGTCTGGTTACTATAGTACAGGCTCTGCCTAGTTTGGGATCAGACAGCGAGATGTGTGAGATGTGTGAGATATATTATTATATTACTATTATTATAATCTAATACTTATGCAATTATTGCTATTTAAGATCTAACCAAAATGTGGAAAAAATATTATTAGGCAACTATTCTGATAGATTTTGACACTTTTTTGGATTTGCGTATATGAATTCCCACTCAATTAACACTAAATGTGTATCTTTGATACTTATCGTTAAAATATTATGTTTTATGCAAAAATCAATATTTGATGGTCTGAATTTTATGCAATGCCGTAACGTTAAACAGATCATTGCGAAATTTTGCAAGAACGTTGTCAGAGATATAGCAAAGAATATAAAGTAGGTACCACTCATCCAGAAATAAAAATCCCAGATGGATTAAAAATACTTTAACGAAAGCGAAGCTGTAGGCAATACTATGCTTCAATACAATATTAAGTTTTTTTGTTGTGAGCTTCATAGTTATCAAGTATTAACTGTTTTATCGCTGAAGTGCGGACAGTGGGTTCATTACAACTCTCAATAGATAACTTTATAGATTGCAATAGTTACGAGAATTCATCAAACAAAAGTTACTTCAGAGATAAATACGATACTGATAAACAAAAGTGGTGCAGATGATTTATTTATCTTTTGATATGCCTATTATTGTTATTAGTTTATATAAACCGGTCGGAAAATCTAAATTAGAAAAGGATTCTCTAATTTATTCAAAGATAAATATTTTTCATGGTAAAGTAGGCACCTCTAAACCTTCTTTCCAAGAAAAGACCTATAAAGCAGTGGACTATTAAAGGCTGTTGATGATACTCCTACTACAGGTGGTGAAGGATAAAGAAGGAAGGAGATTACTGTAGCCCAAGGTTTTGCCATATATATCCCGAAGGTTAAATAATATGTTGTAAAGATGTAAATACGTTTAGATACCATAAAATCCAAATTTTAAACCATGAACCATTTTTGTAATCTTTGGCATCAATTTCAAAATCATTTTTATTTATGCGTTCGTTAGAAGTAAACCCGGATGTGTAATCATAGTAAATAATGAATCGAATAGTTTACGTGAAATGTGTTCGACAGCTAGAAATAGCCCTAATAGGCAAATTGATGACGTATCTAATCACGTTCCTGGAACTAAAGTACCTTTAAGTACTGTTTATCAAAGATGTATGTTGGTTCCTGTTTATTTCTATTAAATCTTGATGGAATGCAGAAACTCATTACTAAGGTTCAGAGGCATCGAGTTTATCAGCAATTTCAATCTCACCAGTAAGACTGAACCTCTTACCTATGAAAATAGATTTATTACTTCTTGATATCTTTCATCGCTTATAGAATGGAAATCTTTTAAAAAAATAATTAATTAAGTACTAAATACATGTGTTTCAATAGTTTCCAGTCAACGTTTTAACTGTAGTTAATGACGAAAGTAAAAAAAAGAAATCTCGTTATTTCCAACGTTACTGAAAGGGCCCAATTACTCCCATCATTCTATCAATCAATCAATCAACCTTTTACAGCCCACTACTGAACATAGGCCTCTCCTTACATGCACTGTAGCCCGTGATCCTCTTTCTTCCTCATTTAAACCTTCTAACTAGTGGTCCTACCCTTATTTGCTACAGCGTCCATTGTTCCTCCGCTCCATGATTACGATCATTATCTCTTTATTAGATCTTTTTTATCGAACTACGATCAAAACGTGAGGCCATTAATAAAATATCTAATAATACTTCTTATATTGTAAATACCAGTGAGTTTAATGCTACACTTTCACGTTTTCCTAAACTAATCATCATGGAATATTTCAAATACGTCGTCAATGGCACGGACAAGGATTTAGGGTCAATGTATAGTGTGATTTATAAGCTTGAACTAAATTTTGAAATTTTAATCGCAGCTTGAAAAAAGCCAAACGGCGATAAAAATTTACTTTTTCATAATTAAGACGCAATTATGAAATGTATCTGTACAAGGTTGTATTCTTTTCTTTTAAAAATTACTCTTCTTTATACTAATACTTTGTATTTCTAGTTTGTAAATAAACAGTATTCTCACTGACAATTATTTGTATAATAAAAACTAAAAATACAAATGCTTTGTATCGTTTCAATAGCGCTAACAAGAATATTTGTGTCGCCTCAATGCACAATTTATATTCAATCTGATCATAATTTCATACCACAGAATATCGTTTGATAGAAAATAGGACTTGAATAGAAATATTCTCTGAAAAGAAATGAGAGAATTCATTAAAAATAAAAAGTATTCAAGATGCAGCTTGACCGACGGAGTATGATAATTCAGAATTGTTGGCAATATCATTAAATTTTAAAAAGTATCATCGACTTTCAGGAGACTAACGGCACGGTTGGCGTAGTGGCGGTCACCTCGCCTCTTCCTACTGCGCTGAGTGTTGTGGGTTCGATCCCCACATGGGACAACACTTTCTGTGATCCACAAATTATTGTTCTGAGTCTGGGTGTCCTTTGTGTCCGTTTCATGTATGTTTGTAAAGTCCCCCGTGACACAGGATTGACTCCTAGTACGGGAGTTTATAAAAACTATATCTTGCTAAACTATTATGGCCCGTATTCTTCATTTCTTAACTTTCTACCCTCAGGAGTAGTGTTTTTCAAATTTGGATTAGACCAAGCGGGAAGTATAGATATGCTTCGAAACAAAAAAAGTTTATGCCAGATCGGTTCATGAATAACGGAGTTCTGAGGTAATAAACATAAAAAAATACTATGAAATTAAGAACCTCCTCCTTTTTAACACGCTTTTATTAGCTTGGTATATATGTATGTAACGGAATCTTTGATTTTGATTCACTTCGAAACGTAGAATTACATAGAGACTATGCACATTGATCGAGGGCCGATGACAATGCAATAATTTAAATAGTCTGTCCCATTTTCCTGAGCAGGACCTTCAGGATCAATGGAATTTTTTTTACCAAAAAATACGTTAGTGTCTTTTGCCATGTACAAAGGCGTGTGCTGAAGCATATGTGACTTCCTTACTTGTTACTTTTCATAATAATATAATAATCATCATTATTGAATAAAAAGGAAAAATAAACTATAGTTTAAAAAACTGAAAAAAAACACGCTTTTGTGGCTAACTGAACCAAAAAGTAGGAAATAATTTTCTATAAGTTCAAAAAGAAAAATCATTTTATCGTAAAAAAAGTGTGGGATGCTAAATCTCAATTATTATAAAAATATACAGATATTAAATAAATACTAAATATGTACATACCTACATATTAAACACAAGTTACACTAAGGCATAGAAGCGGCTTTAGACGACCGGATGGCGTAGTGGTTTGTGTGACGGACTGCTATTCTAAACGTCGCGGGTTCGATTCACGCTCAAGTCAAACATTTGTGTGCATTAGCTTATAATGTTTGATTTGGTCTGGGTGTTTCTATGTATAATATGTATGTATTTACAGAAAAAAAAGTATATATGTATTTATATCAGTTGTCTTGTATCCATAGTACAAGCTCGTCTTAGTTTGGGACTAGATGGTGTTGTGTGAATGTGGTAGAATATTATTATTATTATATTATTGATCAAAAATCACACACTGGCTAGGGTTCAATTTTGAAGAACAAACACAGACACAATCCAATTACCTGATATCTGTCCAAAGCAATCGCAGTAATGGATATAGTTGAGACAAATATTGAAATAGCTTGAATAGCTCCACAAGCTTTGCAAAGGCTTGGCCAGTCTGGTAACGGCCAATGTTTGGTCAATAGCTCCATCAAGGTCAAAGGTGTGCCGACAGAGCACACTAAAGCATCGGATACTGCCAGGTTTACTATGAACATATTTCTTGCTGTTCTCATCGCTGGTTTTCTTACTACCTGAAACAAAATTCAAATGTTTTATCTAGTAGTCTATCTATAATCTAATGTTTTATCAGTAAAGATTTAAAGCACCTGGTAAAAATTTAATAAAATTAATAGTAAATATGATTTATGATAAGTATTGTGCCTAAAGCTAGTGTAAGTAGTAATATTCGCTAAAGAAGCTACGAACTTGAAACTGGAGAGGGCCAGAACTATCCATTAGATCTCAGCTAGGGTTGAAGACTGTCTGTTTTATTGACAAGGCTGAGACGTAGACGCGCGTAAAATAGGTGGAATCGTTTACTTCTTAGGGTATCCCGAAGTAGCTTACAATAGACCTATTTGAGATTAAAACTATGTGGTTTTAGAAGTTATAAGATGAAAACCAAAATATTCAAATGATAATTTCAGTTTCCACTCTATGCCCCTGCTTTCTAATCAAATCTATTATTATAAAATATTTAATATTGTGTAAAAAAAGGCGTGTATCTGGATATAAAGCTAAGCCTAGAGATTTACTTTCCATTAATTTAAGTAAATATTCCGATAAAGTAAGATACCAAAGTACAACTAAAAATACCAAAAATTTGTTTAGTTTTTAAATTCAAGTTAATCAGTTGGTGAATATTTCGGTATGTTAATGAGTAAATGCTTAGGTATTCAGTTACTTTTCAGCCCATAAAATATAAGTAAAATAAACTACAGTTAAATAAAGCAATTACTGTAATTACAAGCGATCTCTCCTAGACAACGTTAATACGGTCAGTATAATATATATAGTTAGGCTAATCTGTTATGGTTTGTCTGTTTATTAGTGAAATACAGACAGCTAAGGGTAAAGGCATCAGATCCATCTAATTGCTATCTTATCTAATTAAAACAGGCACCTGTCAGACTGTGATTGATACAAAGAGAGATGAGATGCGGTCAGGTCAGAGCTTGGATTTCGATAAGACCCAGCTCAGATTTCAATTCTCTTAATTTAAATTTATTTATGAGGAGTGTTCTCGTTTGTGGTGTGGTGTTATCTCTAATATTAGTATATTTAATTTGGACGGCTTTTGGAGTAATGTTTTAAGTCTATTTGATACAAAGAGAGTCGTGGCTGAACCCTAAATCTTTAAGAGTTTTATAGAACGTCGTCGTCATCAACAGCCTTTAATAGTCCACTGCTACACCTGTCATTTTTTTGTTTTTGAGATTTTGGCCACCATGCCGCAGTGCTATTGTCCCGTGTACTTTGCTTCCTTAGTCAACTCTTACGACACCCACGCCACGGGATGAAAAGGGGTGGTGACACTCAGTATTCTTAAGCCGTCACCACACGGATATTATTTATAATACAGTACGTTAATTAATAAATGTCTTGAGAATTAACCATCAAAAGTTACTTGGTAGTTTAATTAGTTTTTGTTAGCTGAAGTTATCCTATGTGTTGTCACCACATTCATTTATAAGTGAAATTAAACCAATATCATTTGATAGGACAAAGAAAAAGAAGAAGAAGGGAGCACAAAGGGAACATGGGGGATACCACACAGGAGGGGGTCATTTACACGCCGTGGATGGCCCGAGGTACATCGGGGTACCAGGGATTTCCTTCCTCGGGTACACCTGGTTCCCCGGCTACTGATACTCGAGACGGCGTGCGGTTTTTAGTCGATTCGAGTCCGACATAATCACCCCACCGGTGGGTGATATCCGAGGGGATTTCCGTACAGGAAAAAAAAGAAAACAAAAAAGGTTTTTGTCCAAATCACACTGTTAAAATCTAAGACTGAGTGCGCTATGAAATAAATATACTCGTGAAAACAAATACAATATTCATTTAAGTATTAATACTTTCTAAAATTCTCTAAAATTAAATTTCTCTCGAAAAAAATACATTAGTGACATTTTTGGGTAGAAAACAACAGGAGAAACAGTGATAGCCATTTTTCACAGAACATTTCATAGAAAGATAATGTTACAATGTTATCAACACTTCAGTTTTGCGATCTATTAAAATATTATTTACAAAAAACAGACAACGGCTGGCGTTTTATCTAAACACATGTCCAAATTGTCATCAAATTTCATCACTTGAACTGAGTTTAATGGTGGATATTTTTTTTTATGGTATATGGCAAACGAGCAGACGGGTTACCTGATGGTAAGCAACTACCGCCGCCCATGGACACCTGCAACTCAAAAGTCACAAGTGCGTTGTCGCCCTTGGAGTGCCTCCCGCTCGAGTCAGCGGGAGGGGGGATTTTGGCTTAGGTAACTGGTTACTAATGTTTTTTACAGAACGGTTCAATAAATTTGGTGGAGTATAAAATGAGTGAAGGATGAATATATAATGGCAAATTTGAGAAGTAACTTCAAAAATTGAATATAACAGAAACCTTAACTAATTTCTATGAAATAGATTTCATGGATATTAAATATGCCAGATAACTAAATTACATAATCATCAGCACATCAACAGCTTTTAATAGTCCACTGCTGGACATAGGCCTCTCCTTAGAAACGAGGATTTGGCCTACTACACCACGTTGGCTAGACGGGAAGGCATAGGGTTTGTTTCAAGTTTTCCTTCTCTTTGCAGTGATGTTGTCCTGCGTAGTTTGCTCCCTGAGTCGGGTCTTACGACAGCTAAGGGATAAATAGGGGTGGTGACACTCTGTATTATTAATCCGTCACATGGACGGATAATTGAATAGTACATCATAGAAATTCAAATATATTCTCTGATCTCAAAAATCCAAAAAATTAACTGCGGGAGAACTGGCACAAATGGGCTGGCTCGACCGGAGTGATACTACGACCTCACAGAAAACCGGTGATAAGCAATGAATGAGGTTACCGAAAGCTTAAGCCCCAACCCAAATCCGTACTTAAATTATAATTGTGAAAGTGAGTTTCCTTGTTTGTTACGCTTTAGCGTCTAAACCACTAAACCGATTCTAAAAATTCTTTCACCTATGGAAAGCTATATTATCAGCGAGTAACATAGGCTACTATTTACTGCGGTAGCAGACATACACGCGGGCGGAGCCACGGGAAAAAACTAGTAATGTAAGTTGTAACATCACTATTCAATATTATTCATCACTATTCAATATTTAGTAGATTCATATGTCGCGTCACTATCATGGATTGCTCTATGGCTACACTAGTTCTTCGATCATTGTTCCTCTGTATGTGACACTGTAAACGTGTAAATTGTACCTGTCTGTCATGTGCTAATAATAGTAATAATATTTATTTGACTAATATGTATTACAGTGTTGGATATTTTGATTTAAAATAGATCTTAGAAAACCTGTTGCCTACTGTAAATATTCATTTTTAAACACGAAGTGTATAATGAAACCGTATATAGAATACAACGTGTCAACACCCCTATTCATCCCGTGGGTGTCGTACGAGCCGACTAAGGGAGAAAACTACGCAGAACAACAGCCCTGCAGAGAGGAGGAAAATTTGACACAAACCTTATAACAACCCGTCAGGCCAGCGTGGTATAGTAGGCCCAAATCTCCTTTCTAAGGAGAGACTTATGTCCAGCAGTGGATTATTAAAGGCCGTTGACATACATACTTACAAATAAACTACACCCAGACACAGAACAAATGATTGTGCTCATAAATAATTATTTGGCTTAAATGGCTTAGCAGTCAGGATTGTTAGAAAATTTATCAACAAGCTGGTCCAGGTCCAGGTCCAGCTGATTGGCTCGAGAGGCGTCACGGGACCCTCTCATACCGATTGACGCAGGTGATCACTGGGAAGGGATGTTTCGGAGATCACCTGTGTCTGATCCGCAAGGAGCCAACGCCTGAGTGCCACCACTGCGATGGCCAGACCGTGGACACGGCTCTCCACACGCTGGCAGAGTGCCCGGCGTGGGTTGAGCAGAGGCGAGACCTCGTGGCGGCCATCGGAGTGGGAGTTCTCTCGCTCGATAGCCTGATTGCGGCTATCGTGCGGAGCGAGAGTGCGTGGAACTCTGCCGTCTCCTTCTGCGAGCAAGTTATGCTCGCGAAGGAGACGGCGGAGCGGGACCGGGAGAGGTTTAGAACTCTCCCGGCCCGCCAGGCCCGGGCACGGGCCAGGCAGCGCAGGCGACTCAGGCGCCGGAGGTCGCAGAACGACCTCCGTCCTCCATAAGCGCAGGCCTTGGGGTGACAGGTGAGGCCATCTGTCACCCTAGCAGAAGCAGGCCGGGGTGGCGGCGAGCGCGTTGCGAAGCGCGCTCGCTTCCAGGGAGCACAGGGAACATGGGGTTCCCACACGGGGAGGGGGTCGTCTACTCGTCTGTAGATGACCCGAGGTATGTCGGGGCACCAGGGCCTTCCTTTCTAGGGTATACCTGGTTCCCCGGCTATTAGTACCCGGCGAAGGCGTGCGGTTTTAGTCGGTTCGAGTCCGACATGCCACCGACAGGTGGTATCCGAGGGGATTTCCGCACGAAAAAAAAAAAAAAAAAAAAAAAAAAAAAAAAAAGGTCCAGGTCCAGCTGACGATAACTACCATAATTATAAAGCGTGTAATTGCTAAAGCTATGTTTTGTTATTTTCTTAGTGATACTGTTTCAGTGTTTTGCATTGGTTTTTACACACATTTACAACTACAGCTTTTATTTAAATATAAAAACAACATTCAAGACTCCGGAGAAAGAAAACCAATTATCTTTGTGTGGTTAAGTTATTATAAAAGAGACACACACAAAGAAAACATTATCTTTGTTTGCAACCGAACAAGGAAACCAACAATTAGTCATTCTTATCATTAAATGTTAAACCCAATCAAAAAAAAACGAATACGTTCTCCATTCAGTATAATTGTGTTACCTTAGTACTCCAACACATTGCAAAGTTAAGCGATAATGACCAGGTCAGTATATGGATGGGTGACCATTTCTTAACACGTTAAGACCCCTCGGTGCCTCGGACCCCAGTTGCCATACAAACATCTATCTAAAAAGTCCGACAACAGTTTTTCCACAGAACTTTGATATCGTGTACTGG